ACAACAATAGAATAATAAAGCTTGTTTTCATCTCTTTTTAAATTTATGGAAATGGCAAAGTAAACTTGAAAGAGGAACAGCCAATCACGAGGTACACGCACATTAAAAACAAAGGCGTCAACAGTCCAAGATTTTGCAACACATTCCTAGACCTTCCTTTTGCATCATTAAAAAAACCCTCAAAGTGACGAGAAGCAAATCCAAGCCTAACCACTGTATTTCAGATTTAATTTACAAGGTTTTTTGTCATAAATATAAACATAAGATCAGGCTTAAGACAAGCTGTTTTGTTTTGTACCACATATCAATCCTGTTTATATACTCTATGAACTGTTTCTTGACCAATTAGGGACCAATTTCCTGATTCAGTTGTAGCAGTATGATTTCATAGCCTTAAAAAGGGGAATTCAATTCAAATCATTGCAAGTCATTAATGCAAAAGTGAAAATCAGTTTGGTGTTAATGTTAGTATGAAAGAGTATGAAAGTTTAAGATCATGTAGGGCACACAATGAGGAGGAGGGAGTTTACAACACGAGTACAAATCGTTCATTAAACACAAATTAATTTCTACGAAACAGGAAAGTAGGGCCAGTATGACAGCCTTGCAGAAAAAGAGAGTAATGGCAATACTTTGATGTTATGAACAGGCATCAACATAAGGTACAATTGTGTGTAGAAGGATTAATTTTCGTTGCATTATGAATTCAAAAGCTGAGGCTTTAAAAAAAATTCTAAATGAGCAAGGAACGGTACTTTTTTTTTCAAAACTCACCTAACTAATGAGCAGACTATGAGGATAGTTCAATAAATGTAAAACGCAGATTTTAGTTGAAGAATCTTCTTGGTTAGAACAGGGTTTCAATTTCAAGAGAAGCACAATACAGTACCTGGTAATCATAATGCTGGGAATGAGTAAACTCAACATAAAAATAATTGAACAATCAAAACAAACCAGAACTTTCAAAAGCATTTTCCTTTGCACTCCTAATTGTTAGAGTTAAAAAGAAGCACATCGGCATAATACTGCTAACAAAAATACTGGAAACAAAGCAAGGGTAGACACAAAAAAATAGAACAGTAATAAAAATAGATTGTATCTTTAATGCCCATACATTCATTGCTTGAAAACAGGCTCCACGTTCTTTACAGTATGTTATTATAACACCAGACTCTATAACATTCTGAAACATCTTTAGCTTCCTGGTAAACATTCAGTGCAATCTGCCATTTTACAGGTGCTCCCACACAAGCACACTGAGATCTTTCACTATCATATTCAGGTAAAAATCCCCACCTCGTAAAAGTGAAGAAAATTTCTGTCAAACGTCAGTCATACAGGATAAAGCATTCAGCTGGACCGGGATTTTAACTCGAAACCTCATTCCTGCAATGCCGTAAGCTGACAAAACGCCTTTTTTCATTTTGACGCCAAATTTTTTTTTTATTTTGCTAAATAAAAGCCTGATCAGTTACCCTACTTGTGTGGAAAAAATTAAATTGAAACTGTGACTAGATATCAAGTTTTTTAATAAATTAGGATTCAAATTTCAGATGACACTATTTTAAAATGATTACGCTGACAAAAAAACCCCTCTTTTTCTCGAAACTGCTCTGAAGAGTAAAAGGCGTTTTGTCAGTTTACAGCAGTGCAGTCAAACTAATAGTTTACCAATGGTATGAACAGCTTATGGATACAAAAAAGTGAATCCTCTTCACACCGTCAAGACCTTAAACTTAAACATTGCAACATCACACATAAAAAATAAAACATGTCGACCTGGTTGCCAGGCTACAACTTCACCACAAAAACAAATCACAGAATCAAGGAACTTTCCGCAGCTCAGAGGATAAGAATGCAGTGAGTCACCTTTGTTGATCAATTGTGACACTGAGTAGAAATTTTGTGCGGAGTAAAAAACTGGGTTTCTCACTGGAAGTTATTTAAAATGTGATAGTTACAAGTTTCACATAGTTTCCATATTTCTATAAATGTGTAGTAGTAATATTCAATTGACTTGAGACAAGGTTGAAAACATATATGAACCACCAACAACCTCCAAAGAGCGGCTTGTACAATTCATAATTATGAAAAAAAAAAAGACATGTTAAACTTGGAAAACATGGGATCAATTGAAAATCTACAAAACTGACCCCAGTGTCCATTTTCAGTTGATATGTCCATTCATGAATTGCCAAATTTGTCAGCCCACTTCACAATTAACACTTAACACAGCAGTATATTTCTGCCAAAACAGCCTAATACTACTTCCAAATTTAAAAAAAACGACCCCCCCTTAAAAAAAGCCCAAAAACAAACAGACCAGAAAAACTTAGCTGCGAGATGTTTGAAACACAAGAAGCAAGAAGTGGAAGACAAAGAGGAGAGAAATTAATAGGGTGAAAGTATCAAAGGAAACATCAATTGAACAGACTGCTTCACAAAGGAACGTGGTAACTACGCCGAGTTTGGCATAAAACAAAGTACGAGATAAGACCCCCCCCCCCCCCCCAAAATGTTATTCTGATTACTTCAGTCCATGAGTAACTTCGTTTGCACACCATTTTTTTCATCCTGGAGGTCTTAGACTCTGTTGTAATCTAAGAATACTGTACCTGTTAACAAAACAAAGAACAATTTACACCCACAGTGTAGCATAAGGAATCCCGCACCGAGACAAAGCAATAAAGCAAAAAGTAATCCAACAAATTAATTGGGTTTTTTAAAATCAACCTTATTTGATCACCGTATGCTCTGTTACCAAAAGCAAAAAATCAAAAAATTTCTTTGGAAATAAGGATAGAATCCCAAATTTAGTCTGTGGGAAGAACAAAATGTGCAAAAACCAGCCATAATACAATACCCTGATTCCACGACAGACACAACTCATGCCTTTCAATAACTTAGAAACTTAACTCTTTCACCACGCGGGGGTTTTCCTCCCCTGGACCGGGCCCTGTCAGTGACCTACTTTCTGATTCTGCCTACTGTCGGACAAATTAAAGATTTTTTAGTTCAATTTTCAATATTAACCACATGTATTACATACGGAAATAAAGGGGAAATAATGACCTATCGCAACATGTTGCTAAAAACGATCATTCTTCAGCCTGAGATTTCAGATTCGATTGTTACAAAAGTAGGTGAGGTTTTGAGACAGAATGTGGAGAGCCGTGAAACACGCGGTAGTGAAAGAGTTAAGAAACATCAATCATGTCATTTAAAAAAAAAAAAAGTTACAAATATTACCCCTTACAAATTTGGCCAACTTTTCACAACAATGCTACTATGCCCATCTCATGAGTACAACTTATATTTCAAACCACTTATTATCATTTTAGAAAAACTTCAGCCACATGTAATATATATATATTGAATTATTGAATCTCATCTGATGTCTACAGAATAAATACATTCTGTGTTGAATCTCCAACAAAACAAAAACTTGACAGATGAACATGGAGAAAACATCCCTATAGGAAAGGGTGGAAAGTATGAGAGGAAGCGGAAGAGGAAGACTAAACAAAGAAGGACACCAACACCAGACTGAAAGAAAGCACAATGAAAGCTTGAAGATGTTCATCTGACATAAAGCAGTGTAAATTGAAAAAGCATCTGAGAAGCTACAATCCAGTCATGTTATACCCCCTGAAATAGTGATAATGATGAATAACAAAAATCTCTGCCCTCAAAGTCATTCGTCATTCATGTATTTGAAATGCATTTATGGAAAAGTAACCTACTGCATGAACCCTTCATCATTTATCAAACCAAAAGTTCACCACAGAATAACAATCACAAAATTCTTTGTATCACGCAAACATAACGAAGAATGTGTCGCAACACAACAGAATGAGCCACCATAAGTCGTATTTTAACACCAAAACAGCGGAGTGCAACGAGCGACTCATTTCTTCACGAAGCTGCACAAATTTTAATGCGTCTTGCAGAACGGCAACATGACAGCAGGACACTGACCCTTATAAATGCATTGTGATTATTTATAAAGCTGAGGCATCAGACAAAGTCTGGTCATCAGAACAAATACAGAGAGCACCCTTCCCGGCAAGAGAAATAATCTTATACAGTAGTTAGTTTCAGTAGTTTTGGTAAGAGTTTTACGGCACTTGTAACATAAATAAGTCCAAGGAGTGCTGAAGATTTGAAATGTTACTCGAGAGTAACAAACAAAGAAAAGAAAGAAGAAAGATATGAACGATATGCTTGTTTAGTATGGGGTTTTACGGCGCTCGCAACTGCATATGAACGATAGATGATTGATGTGAAAGAAGGAGCAAAAAACCACACAAGAACACCCGCCAACCAACCACAGCAACAGATGGACGGCAAGAACAACTGATAACAGTAACAGCACATATGAAAAATGCAGGAGAGTTTGCCAAACAAAGTCAAAGTACAGTCAAAGCTGTCCAAATACAGTCGAACCTGCTCTTACAACCACCTGTCCAAGACAGTCATTTGTACAATGTACAAAGGAACACTTACCATTCCCCCCCTTGTATTTCTTTCTATATATTTAAAATGACACTACCCAAGAGAACCACCAGTCTAAGACAGTCTAAGATGACCGCTTTTATCCTTCAGGATGGGTAGTCATCCCGGTCAGGTTTGAATGTATTGGTGTTATTTAACAAGGAATCAATGTTACTTTTTTTGTAATGGAATTGGCACGGTCTGTTTGTAGTTAGTGAGATCACAGCAAAAGAACAAAATTCCCAGCACACGTTAATAATTCTTAAGTTGCCTGCTCAGTCTAGTTCCTTACTGCAATATTAGCTTGTTATTGCCATAATATTATGCAAATAAGCAAGGTCAACGCACTAGGTTTGACACTTCTCACTGTAGAGCTCACTGGGTTCTTAACCCTCCTAATGTCGCTGGCCCATTAAATCAACCATAAAGTTTTGCACTGTCGTGTTGCGGCTGATCTACTCAGACATAATTCTATTTGGTATTTTAGTTTACTAATCCTGTCGAGATTTTTTTTTGCATTGCAAAATATTTCAACTTCTTCACAAATGAGCTCTACTTCCTATTTACATACTACTTCCAGAAAATGTACAGATTTATGGCCATTACTAGCTGAATTCGCCTGTTCTCAAGCACTTTCTGGTTTCATATGGTGGAATCATATAATTTTCCACAACACCACAGGCAATTTGCTAACGACACTTGGAGGGTTAATATTTCCAAATTGAAGTGAGTTATACTCAAGATTAGGCAGACAGTCTCTTGATCTCACACACACACACACATGATTAAAAAAAACCATCAATCATATCATAGAAGTAAGTAACTGAATATAATAAGTAAAACAGAATAATGCCTCATAAAACCTCAAGTATCAAAAGCATTATATTATACAATTTGATTCCATGGACTTCAATAACCAACAACCTCTCTGTCAATAGCATTAACAATTGGAACATCATATCAAAGGATACCAAAAACTGGAAACCACCACAGGAAAAGCAAACAAAACAACAGACTTTTCAAATTGGAACATTTCGCACAAACAAACCCCTTCTTGTAGTGGTACAGTAGTCTCCACCTATGACCCCAGTACTTCATCATCATCATTGCCTTTCTCACCCTGGACCAGGATAGAGGCCATGAACAAACCCTTTCCACCTTTTCCTATACTGGGCTTAACCCCTTGATGCTATTCCATGTCTTACACTTTTCTGTACATCAGTTTCAGTGACTCTTCTCCAGGTTCCACGTGGTCTTCCCCTTGATCTTTTACCCTGTGGGTTCCAATACAACACTTTCCTTGTTATATGTACCCCCAGTACTTGAGAGCAAGGAAAAGGCAGGATCTTAGGTGAATGGGATCTTAACCCAATCATCGAGGGGAAAGAGCCTACAGTGACTCACAATCAGGAAAATGATCTCTCCCTACTTTAAAAGAACTGAAGTGACCACTAAGTGGGCTTACAGCTTCAGGGAGCAAAGAGTGGTTAACCTTGATGACTAGTGACAATGGTGTGTTCTGGTAAGGCATGGCATTTTCACTTATCCAGTCATGAGTTTCAAGATCAAGGTCACTCCCATCGTTCCTCCCCCGTTCATGTCATAATGTACTGCTGTGTTGTGACTTCACTAATTAAAATTTGAAGCGTGCAAGGCTGGGTAACCATCAACTGAAGAACATATTTAGCAAGGTGATTGGATAACGGCACCAGTCCGTCTATTAAGTTTGGTTGCAGAGCTGAAAGACAAAAGCACCGACAAGTTCCCAGTTCAATGTGATCCCATCTGATGAGGTCTTGTAAGCCCCAGCCACCAAGCATGGGATTCAAGTTCAGGCAGTAAGCTTAAATGAGAGTGCAATGGCTCAGAAAAACAAACACATACAAGTTCACACCTTGTGATGCCATCTGAGGCAAAAATTGTACCCACTCATTGAGACTTGTAATGGCGATGTGGTCTGTGGGGTGACTGGCAGAACAATGACTGTAATTTTTTTATAGCTCGGTAGATCAGCTGCCCATGCCCAAGTTTTTGTTCAGTAAATTATCATCTGAAATGTAGGATTTTAGCTGAATATAGCCCTTGACAGCCAGATCTCAAGGGAAGGCTTTTGCATGGTAAAAATTCTGTTTTCTTAAAAAAAGAGGGGTTTTTAATTGAACCAGGATCATAAGCAATGGGATATTGGGCAGAGACTACTGTAGTACCCAAGGTCTCAAAACTGAAATGTTGTACATTCAAGAAAGCAAAAACAAAGCCTACACCTACAAACCAGTGGCTCATCAAGTAGCTCTCGGTGTAAAAAAAAGAAGAGCACTCAAGGCAAAGTACAGCAACATGCTGCCGAGGACAAATCTGGGACTCACAAGGAAGCTCATTTAGGCCATGGGTGTCTGACCGAGCTCGGGAAATGGATTTTAAGAACATACAAAAACATTTGTAACGAAACAGCTTGAAGCGTTGTCTATGTATCAATCACTCCCTTGACAGCCTGTGGAGGAAGACAAGGCTCACCATTAATTAATACCAAGAATCCAGTCAAAATGCAATGAGGAGGTTAACCTTTTTAGCAGCAAACAGACAAAATTTGTTTGAGTAAAAAGAAGTACATTGACACAATGATAGTCATTTAGTTGATTTAGTGCTTCGAAAAAGTAAGACAAACAGACAGACAGAAACAATACAGGGAAGGTAAAGAAATAGGAAGACCGCGTGGAAACTGGAGAAGAATCATAGAAATTGATGAACAGAAAAGTGGGAAAACATGGAATAACATCAAGAGGCTAGCCCAGGATAGAGAAAGGTGGAAAATGTTTGTCTGTGGCCTATATCTTGGTGCAGGGTGAGAAAGGCTGATGACGATGGCACAGTAAGAGCATAACATTGATAAATCAGCCCATTTACAAATCTACTGTGCATAAGAACATGTTAATATCCCCCCCTTTAAGAATGGCCTAAGACTAAACGGCACAGTATGAGCATGACATTGATAAATCAGCCCATTTACAAATCTACTGTGCATAAGAACATGTTAATATCCCCCCCTTTAAGAATGGCCTAAGACTAAACGGCACAGTATGAGCATGACATTGATAAATCAGCCCATTTACAAATCTACTGTGCATAAGAACATGTTAATATCCCCCCCTTTAAGAATGGCCTAAGACTAAACAAAAGAGGCAGGGCTGTAAATAATGAGAGGAATAATAAGAACAACATCCGCATGGCTCTTTTCTTCAATTACAGAAAAATGCTAAGATACACCAGCATGTTATAAATGAATATCACAACAACATGTTATGCATTACTACATTAATTTACCTGACACTATAGATATAAAAGGCAAAAATATAAGTGAAATTAACAAACATTAAAATATCAAAGATTTCTGGAATTTCTTAAATATCCGGAAATATATATATTAACTCCACAAAGTATGAATGTTCATAAAATGTTCCACATGATGCCTTTTGAATGCAATATGGAAGGAAAATGATGTGTCACAACATGGTGGAATCAGGCAACCGTAAATTTTTGGGCATGTGGAGAATTTGGTATCATCTTAACTCACTCAACCCTAAGCCTACACTTCCGTGTTGTCAGCTCTCCCTAGGGATTTTTACAACTTTTTTTAAAATTGAAAAAAAAATACTAAATTTTACCATATCCTATCCAAATTTGGTACACTATTTACTCAAACCTTTATTTGTGTGTACATCTATTGAAAATTTGAAGGCAAAATACTTCATAGTTTTTAAGCAATACTTTGCCGAAAAAGGTCTATAATTATACAGAGTCAAAAAGTAAACAAAAAGCAAAGAAAGGAAGTGCTTTCAAATTTCGCACCCCTCACATGGTTCACGAATATAATAGCTTTCTTTGTTCTAAATTTGGGCTTGCACTTCTGGTAATGGTCTGTTCCAAATGAAAAATGGTTACTCTTCTAATTAGGCTATAGTCTGCCTTATACAAAAGTATTGTTTTTGGTCACAAGAGCGAAATTTTCCATACCAATACTGTCTGCGTTAGAGTTGGAGCTTTGAGCACGCATACCGATATTATTTGCCTTGGGGCTGGGAGAGTTAAGGCTTGTTCACTTGTCTTGCGGTGTAAGAAATACTAATCTATCTTTAATAGAAATCAAAGTAATGTGAAATTAAAGGAAATGGTGGTCGCCTACTTTTAGAAGTAAAATTATCGATAAAATGACTGCCAAAGTTAGGCGACTTCAAAGCTACGGTGTCCTTGGCTTGGAACCTGTAAATTTTAATTTTGGTGCCTTTAATCAACACTTTTCTGTAACATTCACACAGAAATGTGTTTTTAAAAGGGCATAAGAGGTGTTGAGTGAGCCAAAAAAAATAAATTCCCCAACGATAAAAAAAAATGCTGGTTACTTTGATTTCAATATTTTGACGAGCGCCTGATTTCACCACGCTACCTCATATATTACATTACATTACCAGACACTATAGATAAGGCAGACATTTTTATTTTATAGTAGAGGGTTTTACGGCGCTCACAACTGCATAAGGTCATATGAGCACTAAGGGGTGGGTGTCAACAGAGAAGTCTTTACAGGGAATCAGACTTAGACTGCTCACCTCTCTAGCTTCAACAGCACAAGGTCTGCTTCGACTATCAAGGCACCCCAAAAAAGCAGGTCACAAGAGAGTGATAAACATACAAAAGAAGTAGAGGAAAACGACAATAGTAAGGATAAGGAAAGAAAAAGCAGCAGTTCCCTGTTGTAGATCAGGCACAGTTATGAGCGTGACATGAGTCAGCCCATTCACAATTCTGCTATGCTTGAACGAGAAATGTCCCCCCTTTGGGAACAGCCTAAAGACTCTTCAGTCAGTGGCACTGCCCCGGGGGGTGATAAGGCAGACAACAGATAGAAGAAATAAGCAAATTTAAAATGCATCAAAGATTTCTCAAATGTCTTAAATCTAGAAAAGAGGGCAACTGCACAAAGAGCCAACAATCATGAAGTGTTCTACATACCTTTTGAATGTAATTTGGAAGGACAAAAGCTGCTCGATGGATCTGAGAGCTGTAGTACTTCAGTTTCATAATCTCAATATCCTTTTCACTCAGTGTCCGGAGTGGTTTGGTCAAATCCAGATCCTGTTCCAAACATTACTCAAAAGGTCAAATACAGGAAGACTTGAAGTTGAAGGGGAGATGCAGTTTACTAGTCTGTGATTTAAAAAGTGATTCAACTACCCTTTCATTAATTAAGGACACAGAAAATTATTGTGGGGGGGTGGGGTGTGGAAAAAACTACAGAGAGAGGGAGAGAGAGAGAGTGAGAGAGAGAGAGGGGGAGAGAGAGAGAGAGAGAGAGAGAGAGAGAGAGAGAGAGAGAGAGAGAGAGAGAGAGAGAGAGAGAGAGAGGTGCCTGTGTACAGAAACTCACTGGATCAGGACTAGCGACGATGTACCCCATCATGCCACTTATGTAGGTCGGAGTGTGCCCCACGGCATATCCAACATTTGGAAACACTTCCTTACACTGGGACAAAACTTTCTGGATCAGATCAAGGTCCAGGAAGGGAGTTTCACCTGGGGAGTAAAAATGTAAAACACATTGATAAAAACTCTTACAAAGGACAGACCTCGTGAAGTCATTGGATGATGGGTTCACCGTAGTGCAATGAGTGGTTTCCATTTAACAAATTAGAAATATATAATAGCAATGTTTTGGCCGCACTGACATATCGTTAAGTTAAGTTAAGAGATATGGAAAACAAACGAAACAATTCAACGAAAAAGTAAAAGTTTTCAAACAAAAATGTTTACGAAGAATTTTGCTTAAAAAATGGAATGAATTTATTACACATCATGAAGCGTTGGAAAGAGCTGGAATTGAAGATATCAACGCGACCATAAAAAGGAGAAGATAAAGATATTTAGGACAAGTTCTAAGAAAGCTAAAAGACAAGTCTGCCCTATCAGACATGGTATTGGAGACTAAGTGGAAAAACAAAAAGAGTAAGACAAACTGGAAACTACAGAGGCATGACAAGGGGTGTGACAATCACTCAGGGTCTGGATGTGCTGAAATTGGAAAACGTGGCCGGGGACAGACAAGCGTGATTACTTCTAAGAAATGAGTCTAGCCTACAACAGAGACCTAAATCACACCCAAAAAAATTATGATATTTCTACACCAATCAATTTGTACACTTAATGTACGAACAATAAAGTTTACATACATATATATCTAAACATAAAATAAAACCTGACATAAACAAATCACCTTGGCAGCAAGCAACTCCATTGGGCTTCAGTCCATTTTTGAGATCTTGGTAGTAATTCTTTTCAAACAGAGCTGCTGCAACACCTGTAAGACAACAAACACAAGCCTCTCAACATTTTCAAATGAAAGATCATAAAGATTTGGAGATAAAAATCAAAAGAAGAGAATTTTTAGTTTTAGTAAGAGAATTTCATGGCTTTCGCAACACAAAAATAGGTCATATAAATTTCAAAGATTAGAGAAGAGGTGTTACTAAAGAGTAACATACAAAGAAAAGAAGGCAGAGAGCAAAAGGATGATAGATGATCACCTCTGCAAACAAGATACAACACTGACTTTTTTTCTATTTCGCTGACAGCCTGAGAGAGAGTATGAAGAGTGGTTAGCTGCTGGTTGTAGCTTACGTCTTATAACTAATACTCTGTTCCACCCATCTGCTCTTTATAAACAAATAGTTTTTCGTCTAATTAAGTGTTTTACGGCACTCGCAACACAAAACAATAATATTTAGTTTAGTTTTAGTAAGAGTTTTATGGCACTTGCAACACAATGAATAAGGTCATATAAGTGCCGAAGATGAGAGGTGTTACAAGAGAGTCACAAACATAAAAAAGGAGGAGAGATAAAGACAATAGTTGTTTGACAGGAAAGAAGGAGCAAACCACACCAGAGCACCAGCCAACCACCCACTACAAAGGAGCAAAGGACGACTCTTGCTGTGCTTAACAAGCCATTGTCAATTCATGCAGAACAAAGTCACACTTAGTTTAGTTAATGTAAAGAGAAAGAGAAGCACACCGACAAACTAACAGCTATTTAGCACTGGAAAAAATGTCAGACAGACAGAGAGAAACAACACCGGCACAGCAGTTCCGACCACAGCCGTCACAGAGTTAAAAGTTTAAAAAGTAAAATCTACCAGAAGCACCCTGAAACCCACACACAATGCCAGACTCACCTTCGGGATCTGGTGCGTCTGTGATAATAACGTCAAAGTGGCCCGGGTGTTCTCGGATGAACTGGACACCATCTCGCACCTGGATGTTTACTTTAGGGTTGGTCAGGCAGTCGGCCATATCAGGCAGATATTTTTTACTCACGTTAATAACTTCCTAATCAAATAGAAGAAAAAAAATTTGACTTCGTAAACTCAATGGCAAAACTGAAGGCATGTGAGGCAGGGGTAGACCCAAATCAACCTACTAGAAGAGCCTGAACTGATGGGTGACGGAGAAAGATCAGGATAATGTGGTATTTTTTAGAGGATCCCATCAAAGAAATGAATGGAGAACCATAATCACCGATTGGAATTTAATTAAACTGAAAAACTCACAACAACATAGCATCTAAGAAATTTTAAAAAGAAGGACAGTACAGTATCCGTAAAAAGAAAAGTGAGGCGCACTGACACATCCTCAGCCGATCTTACACCTCGAAAAAACAAGAGGAAGACAGGGCACAAAGCTAGCACCAACCAAATGGCAAAATGCACCCTTGAATGCGCATGGTGGACTGCCTGTATAACCACAGAGAAAGCTCAAAGAAAACTCAGTCCAAGGAAACTCAGCAAAAAGAAAAGGAAAAATGTTCTGTTTCAAAGTGCAATTACAGGTAGCATGTGTATACGTTCAGCTTTTTTCTTTAACCCTACCAGTCAGTCCTCAGGTCAAATAGGATAGTAGACAGTGCTCATACAATAAAATAGAACTAAAAAAAAATGGCTCGACATGTAAGGATACACACAGGTAATATAAAAGAGCCAACACAAAAATACAGATCCCCATATAAAAACAAAGAATACGGAAAGATCTACAGTGGAGCGGTGTGACACAAGCAAACACAATCAATGTGCAATGTATTGGGAGATTTGGGGGGGGGGGGGGTTTTGGTAAGTGTTTTAAGGCACCTGCAACTGTATAAAATAAGGTCATATGAGCGTGCAGGACACAAAAGACATTTTGGGTTGGTATGAAATTTTGAATTTTGCCCGCGTGACAGCCGAAGCCTACTCTTATAGATTTTAGACCACCAAGGGATCTTTAATGAGCGCAACTTGCACACGGGACCTCCAAGATTTTTTGCCCTTGTGACTTGTCCGAGAAGGCTAGGTGTAGATCTTTCCTACCAGGTCTGAAAGTCAGCAGTAAAAAGAAGCCAAGGAGTAGCAGTAGAAAGGTTGTAGAAAGAGTCCGGAGCCCACAGGAGATGGCAAAGAAGGTGAGGGGGTGGGGGCAGAAAGGGGAGACATGAGAGCAGACGACAGAACATTGCTAGAGAACAGGAAAGGAGGTGAACGGAGACAATTTTAGAGAAGAAAATGTTTCCGTCAATACCCAGATTCGAACCCGGGACATTTGAATGAGAAGCGAAAACCTTTTTTTTAACCTCTAGGCCACGAGACTTGTGTACAATTGAAACTAAACATAACCTTATAATTCAGCTTCAAATAAAGCTCCCCAATTAAATCTGACTAATTCTGATGCACTGATTATGAAAATGACATTATTTTGAGGCTTTGGGCTTTTTTTTTTTGCTTTAGATTTTGGAATTGACTTTTAAAGTTGGTTTCCTCTTAAACTTAAACACTAACAAAGGAAGAGACTTCCTAAGTCCCAGCTTCTCTCAGAACCAGTCACTGGGATCAGAGTAAGAGAAGGAGATAAGATCACTAACTACTTCTTCTGCATTCTATTTTTCCAGTGAAAGGAAGACGTTCATGTTATTCGAGTTCATTCAAGGGTCTTAGACACTGCATTTGCCTCTTACATATTGCGTTTATTAGTATTAGTGACCGTCCCAAGTTGACTTCTATCAGCACTACCCCAACTGATTTCTTTTTCCTTCATGAAATATTCAACAGTTCCTTAAGAAACTGTGTTTCTGTTTGATATTCCCACCGTTGCTTATGCAATGGCGATAAGGATTACCTGCTTTTTTCAATATATATATATCATTACCAGGAATTCTATATCTCTGCATTAAAAAAATAACCCCCTACATTCATTTTCAGTCACAAGAAAATACCTCATCAATTTCACACAACACCACCTCCTTCAGACTCTCATACTTGAGTACTTCTCTCACCACACCTCCGTCTCCCCCTCCAACTACCAGCACCTGAAAAGAGAAGAAAAAAAATAAGAGGTTTTTTTTTCACTCTCTGTACTAGGTGCTAAACCTGTTACAGACCAGCTGTCACCAGCTACTATAGAAGCAAAAACAAGTTTGCTGGGCTCATGGGTCCATAATTCATATATAAACTTATAAATAAAAGATACATTCATTACTTTTCAAAATGGCATATGGCGGATTCTCACACTAAATGTTTGACATTCATTTCTTTTCAAACATTTTTACATCTATGTTAGGAATATTTATGGTCAGATATGCATGTAAGATATTTCAAACATCCATAAATTACTGGCTGGCTCATTTAAAAGCTAAACTAAGCCAAAATTTCTTATTTTGAAGTAAAAAACCTCTCATGTTACTTCACAGTTCCTGTCAAAAGTGGAATAAAATTCAACGCACTAAGCAAAAAATTTTAATTAAACAAAAACAAACCTTCTGGGGGTTTGGATGTAGATTCATGGGGATGTGGGTGATCATTTCTTGGTATGTGAATTCATCTCTCTCTGTACACTGTACAACTCCATCAAGAACTAAAACATTCCCAAATGACTTACTGAAATAAACCCCAAAAAATATATTTTAGATAATGTAACATTCAACGTGAGCAGTAAAACCCTTTAATGGAAATTGTCTTTCCAATAGCAATAATGAATAATAATAAATTAATAACTATAATAATAATAATAAACAGCACTTTTATAGCATATGTCCCCGCTAAACAGCAAGCTCTAAGCACTTAAGAATCTATATATATATTATTACCCTACCAAACCCTAGAACACTTCGAAACATTCTCAGCTTCCAAGGAAGCATCCAGTGTAAGCAATTGATCAAGTGCTCAAGCAATTACAAACTGACAAGATCTTTCACTGTCTATAGAAAAGAAACCATTCCCACCTGGGTGAAGTAAGGAAAGTTTATGCAAAGTGCTCTTCCCAAAGACACAATACTGGGCTCCTGGCGGGGCTGAAACCCACAACCTATCATCTGCAAGACCAACAGCCTAATCACACGACATTCGCTGCAACAAACAAAACAGATCATCCCAAACAACTGACATCATCCCAAAGACAACCACAAGCTCTGAAAAAGGCAGACATCTTGGACACTGACATAATAGGGGGAAAAAAGCAAGGACGGAAGTGGAAAGTTGCCATTGGATTGTCTTGGACAGGTGTCCCTTGGAACATGTTTGACTGTGGACAGAAAGAAGAGTTTTAAAAAACTGTCTCCTTCCTTTACTTTTATATATGTGAAGGGAAGGAAAGCCCTCAATGACTCTATACTTTCCTATTTACGGGAAAGAAACTAATTTCAGCTTGGTGATATTCAAATGAGAGTTGAGGGCTATGAAAAAAAAAGAAAAAAGCCTTGGGGTAAAAAAGTCATTTTAAAATGCAAAAAGTATGGTATGAGCTGCTAGGTAAACAACGACAGCTACATCAAATTTCTACACTCTTGCGATAAACTATAAAGTCAAAGAAATCCAAAACAATTACTATAGAATAAAGAGTGAAAAAATCAAGCAACAAACCTTTTAAACACTAAAACATCCTGGTACTGTGATTTTTCATTGTGCAAAACTTCCTCCACCTGGAAACTCTGACAGTATCCCTCCCAGTTCAAGTTTAACTCTCGGTACCATTTTCCATCCATTTTTGACTGATTAGTCGGCTGACAGTTGTTTTGGGAATCCATTGGAATGTCTGCTGCTTCGTTGTGTCAACCTCTGGAATGTAAAACAAGTTTTTATTTTCAAGCACATAATTTATGTAGACAGCAAAAGAACTTGTCAATTTGTTAGCGTTTGAGCGCTTTATCAGCAGTGAATGTTTCTGAGTATTCTAAGATCTGCTGGGTTATTATAACATAGATTGTAAGGCGCACAGAGCTTGCTGTTGTTGGGGAGGGGGTGGGGGGGGGGAGATTAGGCGCAATATAAAGTTATTTATCATTATTATCATAACAATGAAACTGGGAGAGGGGGGATGGTTGGTAGGTGTTCCTTCTTTATTGTCAAGCATCAATTATTGTCTTTACCTCTTGTCCTTCTTTTCTTTGTATGTTACTTTCTAGTTTCTAGTAACATCTCTTATGTTTGGCATTTAAATGACTCATTTGACTAGTGTTGCAAGTGCCATGAAATGAAAAACTCTCACCAAAATTGAAGTAAACAGGGTGGGGGAAGTGCCCAAGAGCTATTCTTTTTATTTTCTGAACTTTTCAAATCTTCACATCCTGCCAAAAATTCCCCAGGATAACCGAGCTATTCTTTTGCCAAGCACAGCTCGCCTTAGGCCACCATATTTTGTCACAAGCCACCAATGAAAACTTTCGTTCATAGCTATTGTGAATTGCCATCCCCGGTGTCTCTCTTTCAGATGTGCAACACAGTAGACTCACTGCTTCCGTGCTCTAATCCAGTCACAACTTACTAAACAAGCTTACATACATCCCTTGACCTATTTCTTGTTTACGGCCTGTCACGAAACAGAAATGGACATCACCAACAATTATGTCATAAAATTCAAGTTCTCTGTCCCCTGTCCTATTCTGTTGGTAAAATTAAAAATAGAAGCCATATCTCTTAGCAGAAAGAATAAAGCTGTAAAGATGAACATTTTCAGCAGAAGTTCCAGGTACACCATCTGACTGGTTAAGAAACACTTGCGCTCTATTTACAAGCAGGTCTTGTTTTAACTATGTGCAGATACTGAACCTAATTTTCCCAGTCTCAAAATCATTGGCCTCCTGATTAGCTGTGAAATGCTGCTATCTGGAATTTCTGATTGTAACCCCCCCCCCCCCCCTCCCGCTCTTAATCCCTACAAGGTATTGGACAGAAGGGCGAGTGTCCGGCTGTTGTTGGATCGATAACCACAACTCATAACCTTTTTCCTTTTTTCACAAACTTTTGCTCCGGATATTTCGATGCCTCAGAACTATTTTGTCCAAAGTGTACTTATGTGTAAAGAGGCACTTTGGACAGAATAGCTCTGGGGCGACGATATGACGATTTATTAAATACATTACTCAATAATTATGATAATTTATTTAGCACATATCCACACCTACTGCATTCTTTGTGCACTTTACAACTATAGTTCCAAACCATTTAAAACTGTATCTAAAATAAGCAGGTGAAAAAAAGTTCTTGCTCAAAAAAATGTTTAAAAAGGAAAAACTTCAACATAAAAAAAACATAAGCAAAAAAACCCAGAATGGAAACAGTCACGGAGGGACAAGTCTGACGGAGATCAAAATATTTCTTTAACCTCTAATGAGATAAATAATAATGCATCAAAAACTCTAGACCCCCCCGCCCCAGAAGTCCCCACGGTATTAGTTTTTTAGATGCCTCCCAATCCCAAACTCAAATTAAAGAAAGCTTCTACTCTGACAGAAATAAGGTCTTTTGTGAGACTTCACCTACATTAGTAGTTAAGTCATATTGATGTCTTCAACTTCAAGTTTGCTTTGTTTGAGTAAAGAGCAGCATATCAACACAATAATAATGGTCATTTAGTGCGGGGAGAAAGCAAGAAAGACAGAAACTACAGAGGGAAAGAAAAAAGTAGAACCTGTGAGTGGTGCCCTTCGACCAAGCGCAAGGCCTCCCGAGCCAACAGAACCTATAATGGATTAAAATGTAAAATACCCCCATCGACAAAATTTAGATCATAGAGAAGGCAGGCTGCTTCTACTTCTACCCTGCTTGACCCACTTGCAAATAAAACTCACATCTTCAGCGAGCAATGATGAATAGCCTAATGTACACACCACAGATGCCAGAGTATGGAATCAGAGATAAAACCCTCAAAAACATGAAACGAAACATTTGGTCCTCACTTGAACAAAACACTATAATGCGGTCAAAATTTTGTGGCAAAATGTATCCTCAAATATCTTTTTAATGGGCGAATTAATGCTCCCCATGCTTCGCACAGCAGTTTGTATTGATTATATTTTCCCACAAAAATTGCGGCAAGATTCAAAAACTTCTTTTCTTAAATTAATAATACTACAAATCTCCGTCACACGGAAAATGGGAGTGTTCACAGCACTTCCCTCTTCTGACACGCATTTTGCATACACATATTGCCAACATCACTGTTAACCAATTATACTGATACTTTCTAGTGGCAAAACTAGTTACAAAAAGTTAATTTTTCAGAGAACACTTTTTTTGCACTAAAGGTTTTCAAAACATGCGTTCAATAAAAATAGTGTCACAATTAGAACAAAGGACAGACTTAAGCAATATTGTCTCAGCTCATGTAATGTAAACCTTTTAAAATCAGTAGAAATCACCCATTGGGATTTTTAAACTAGTGTTTATTAAAGAATTTTCTAAAATAAAGCCAATAAGTGTTTGTAAAAATGTTGATCTGGGAAGACAAATTGATACAAGTCATTATGCAAAAGCTGGAGAGTCTTACGTTCGATAGTTTACGAAATATTTGAAAATAAGTTGCACCATAAATTTTTTATCGCACTATAGTATAGATTCACACCTTTTGTTACACTTAAAGAAAACTCTGGTATCTGATTCACACCTAAGCACAGTTTGGAAGAAGAAAAAAAGGTGAAACTATCTTTCCCAAGGACTCAGCTTTAAACCCAAAGGTCAAGTCACTTGTTACATAACAATAACCATAAATGTCATTCTCGGGGAGAAGATAGCATTCTGTCTTTTTTTTCCCTCCTTGAAAAACTTGCTATCAGAAGAGTGCCCTCTAGAGTTTGAGCAGCACAATTTCAGAGCAGTCAGTCTCAAGAGGAGATCTTTAACTTTTACATAAAAATGATTTTTTTTTTGGGGGGGGGGGGGGGGGTGTAAGTTACAGTGTAAGTGTTTTATGGTGCTCACAACTGCATAAGGTCACATGCGCGCGCAGGACACACAACACATTTTCAGTTGGAAGGAAATTTTGAATTTTGCCTGGGTGGTGGCCGAAGCCTACTCTAATCCATTTTAGAACACCAAGGGATCTTTAACGTGCCCAAATTGCCCATGGGCCCTCTGAGATTTTTCGCCCTTTTCCGAGAAGGCTATGTGTAGATCTTTCCTACCAGAAGACCAGGGGTGTGGCTGAAAGACAGTAAGAAGGAGCCAAGGAGTAGAAGTAGAAAGGCTGCAGAAAGAGTCAGGAGCCCAAATGAGGGGGCAAAGGATTTGAGGAGTGGAAGCAGAAAGTGGAGACGAAAGCAGACGACAGAACATTGCTAGAGAGCAGGGAAGGAGGTGAAAGGAGACAATTTCATGGAAGAAAATTTTTCTGTCGCTACCCAGATTCGAACCCGCGACCTTTGAAAGAGAGGCAAATATCTTTACCTCTAGGCCACGAGTGCCCCCTATAAAAGTGATTTCCCAGAAAAATCTCAAAATTGAAACAGCTAATTTTCTGAAGTTCTGCTCACAGGATTAGCTCGGTGTAGCACTTCACAACAATCATACTTTAATTTCCAGAAAGTGGGTGGTTGGCGGGTGCTCTGGTATGGTTTGCTTCTTCTTTCCTATAAGAAACATCTATTGTCCTTATCTTTCCTCCTTCTTTTTTATGTTTGTTACTCTCTTGTAACACCTCTTATCTTCTGGCGCTCCTATGACCTTAAGCAGTTGCGAGCGCCGTAAAACCTCTACTCAAACTAAACTTTAAAATTTTTTTAAAAATCCATCTTGAATGTGTCTGAGGGGACAGTGGCGACAAAATACAGAACTTATTCTTTTCAATAGCAAAGCTACGATTGACCTCTATAAAATCTTATCAAAGGTTTCAGGATGAAAAAAAACCCTCCAAGTCTGACCACATCTATAGACATAAGTACTGAGCTATGCAGAAACTACTCTGAAACTGAAATCATAAAAGTATGAGGCAGGCTACTTTAACACAACACCCAACCAGACAAAGTTAGCCAAGAAAAAAATCTTTATCCTCCCATCCCAACACCTTAAAAAAGACAAATACAACACGGACATACTCTCCATTGTATCTATATCTTCGCTATCCCTCACTGCACACACACACATGCGAGTGCACACACACACCACACACACACACCACACACACACACACACAGGTAAGGTTTCAGTGGGAAGTTAGTGACGAATAGAATACCAAACAGAACCATGGGTGACCAAAAACCTATCTAGGCAATACAAATTAGAGCCCTGCTGACAATAAATGTACTGACAGTAACTGTTCTAGAGACAGTTTTAAGTTTTGCTGATAAAGTTATTCATGAAATACACATTAGTGCTGTGCGATTCTGAGGAAACAAAAATTCATCGAAGCTTCGAAGCGTGAGCTCACTATTCATGCTATTTGAATACCTATGTCGAATTTTTTTTCTTATACATGATAGGCCCAGACCTAACTTTCGCTATTCAACATTCCTTAACTATTCACATCACCGTCGAATGGGTTTTTAAAAAATATATACGCTACGTCCAGATCTTACTTCCACAATTCGAAGCGCCGTAAATTCTTTTTTCTTATATACGATAAGCCCATCCCTAACTTCCGCTATTCGAAGCGCCGTTGAAAAGTTATTCTTCTATATGATAAGTCCATCACTTTCAAAGCGCGTGTCACTGAGTGCTCGTGTGTTGATGTCATGACACAGACAGTGCAGTGTGATGATATGATGTCACCGACCATAGCGCTTTGAATTTCAAATAGCCTAGGGGAAGAGGAGCTTAAATTGCGACAGCTAACTTCATGAGAA